GTATTTTCTAAAATTATTTACGGTTAAGGCTTGTGTTAAAATGACTTTTTTTTTAATTTACACTTTACTAGTGTAATTAGTTTAGCAGTTTAATTTTTTGATTTTTTTTAAAATGCCTGAAACAAAAGACATAATAAAGAAACATTACGTAAAATATTCCACCACTAATTTAGGCTAAATAAATGGGATTATAACAAGAGATTGACCAATTTATAATAATAATAATGCTACAGATTAAATTAATAATAATAATTTATTAATTTACTTACATCTACAATTTTAAAGCCAAAACAAATAGTTTACCATTTTACAAATTAACTTCACAGTCTCAGACTGATCTGTAATCGAATTCATACACCGAGTAACTGTGTTACTGACGCTCTCGGCCATTTTCCAGACAGTTCGGTTATTGTTGGTTGCCGCACGGTCGCCGCTCACAACGGCCACGCCACACTTTTGACCACAGCTCGCCGGGACCCCTGCTCTTACCGACTCTCTGCCGTTCAGCTGCATGCCCTTGGCCAAACGCGACTCCGTTTTCGACCGTCTCTCCATCTCCTCCATGATCCCTTGGATGTGATCCCCGGAGATCCCGTGGAAAAGCATGGCTCCCGGTCCTGGACGCAACGTGCAACTGCCTGCCTCTGTCTTGCAGCCCACAACTTCCATATACTGTGACTGCGGCGCTGCGCCCTGCGCTCTCAGCGCATCCAAGAGAGGGGCTCCGAGGCTGTGAGAGGGGCGACACACACACCACCACCAACAGGCACCACCACCACCACCACCACAGGAGACTGAGAATCAAATCACCTCCTCAGAGTGCAAAGGCAACTGCATGAAGAAAAGAAGAAACGCCAAGAAACTACAACATGGGTGGGACGGGAGGAGTTGGTGTGTGGCGCACCAGATTTTTCCTTCTCCCCGTCAATGTCTCTCTCTCTCTCTCTCTCTCTCTCTCTTACTCTCGCTCTCTTTCTCTCTTCCTCCTCCTCCAAAAACAACAGAGGAAAAAAAAATGTATATAGTCCAAATGATGCGACAAACCGGTGTGGAAGAGGTGTTGGTGCTGGGGAGGAAGAGGGAGGAGGTGGAGGGGGGGGGGCAGTATAAATACACGCCAGGAAAAAAAAAAAAAAAGAGAGAAAAAAATAATGACACAGAGTTTTGGTTGGTGATTTCTCTCTATCCCGGTTGTTCCCAGTCAGTCAGGGCTTCCTCGGTGCTTGGAGGTCAGGTTGGGACTGCCTGCATTTGAGAACCGTGTCCTATTTGTGAAGGGAGCAAATCCTAAAGCCTGCCCAGTCTGAATAATTTGGTAGGAGGAGTTCCCCCCCACCCCCCCCCCCTCATCCCCACCTCCCCTCTCTCTCCCTTTCTCTCTCTCTCTCTCCCTCTCCCTCTTCATCGCCACCCTTTTCCATTCACCAACAAAGAGCTGTCACTCTCCCCTCAAAAATCTGCCGATTCTGACTGAGCCAAGGACCACGACGACTTTATGGTATTGACATTTTCATTACTTTTATTCCTGCAGTTAAAGGCCAGGAGGCAGGAGCACCAGACTCTGGGATTAACTCAGAATGAGCCACATGTAAATGTTTTACTCGTTTATGTCCTTTACACGGAACAACCTTTGAGAAAAAGATTAGAGTTCTATTTCATATAAACTTGTTTTTTTTTGACAATGTAAACCGTAAACCGTAAAATCGACTTTTAAATATCGTATATAACCGCAATTTTTTTGGTACTACAGTTAATTTTTTTTTTTAATGTGGGGATTTCTCTTAAACTCAGTGCGTTTGTAGTAAAGAATTAATGATGAAAAATGATGAAGTCTTTTTTAACAAATATTTTGTCAGGAAATTCACTCAATTTGTGACTTTTGTTTTTGTTCCTTTGCATATTTCTGGTGTGTGTTTGTGTATTTTTATATAAAATGTATTTTCGTGGATAAAACATTCCAAAAAAGAGCGTTAATGATGTGTAATAAATGTAGTTTTAAAATTCTCTAATTTAGAGTTTTAAAAGAACGTTGCATTGATGCGAGTTTTATTCATCAACGTAATAAAGCTGCAGCATTTTATCACTGCATTGTTTGTTTGTTTGTTTGTTTGTTTGTTTTGTTGTCCAATGGAAACATCTCAGATTTTCCTTCCATCAAAAACTCATTTGAAAATCAGAATAATTTCCTGCGGACCGGTCATTAACAAGAGCCGGAGAATTAGGCCAAAAAACCCGCTGTTTATTTACAGCAGACTTGTTTTGATGGCAGTAAACGTGATGTAGTGCAGAGGCCGAGACAGATCCGGCTGACGTCACTGCTAAGACACCCAACATCTGTGGCTGTGAAGCTACAATTAAGATCAGTGCAACTTTGAACAAAGGTTGTGAAAACGGGAAAACTATATGTACAGATATATATTTTCTACTTTATAAAAAACATATATATATATTTACATACTGAATGACTTAAAGGTCCAACACGTGCAGGACAAACGCAGTGTCAGCAGACGAGCTGTGTGTGTGTGTGTGTTTACATTTAAAACACAGGCCGCTGCAGAACTACACACACACACACGATACAGATGTAGGAACAAGACACGGATATGGACTGAATCTATGAATCTCTGGTTCCATTAATAGATTTACTAGCTGCGTGCGTGTGTGTGTGTCGGTGTGTGTGTGTGTAGTGAGGTGGTGGTGGTGGTGGTTTGCAGGTGTGGATGCTTCATTACTTCATCTCAAGACGTGTTACATTATCATGTGTTGTGTGTCCCCCTCCCTCCCTCCCTCCCTCCCTCCCTACACCTCCCTGATTGTGCTGCCTTTAATTGGAGGCCCCTTGATACCAGGGCTATAAGACAACAACAGCAGAGCTGTAGACCCTGGTGTCCGGATGGACTGACTGACTGACTGACTGACTGACTGACTGACTGACTGACTGACTGACTGCTGGACCTGCAGCTGTTTCTGCAAAGCGCGGCGTTAATTTGCAGCTCTGTCAGTGTCTCAGGGTGACGACAGGAAATAAAAAAAATAAAAAAACGGGTCGCTGTTTTAAAAAAAAAAGACTAAAAAAGAAGCAGAAATCGGACTGAAGGACTGGGTTTCATCTGGACAAAGACGCCCCCAGAGGACTGACCGTCTCAGCTCCGTGTGATATTATACACCCACACCTCCAGTGATTGACCAAACACCAGTGAACCAGGGCGGCTGCTGGTTTTTCTGACTTATTCATAAACACTTTAACTTCACTAAAGTGTCGGGATTGGTGTTTTTTTTCTTCTTTTTTCTTCCTGAAGACATTTATCAAACCGTTAATGTCTCTAAACCCCTGTTTTTTGTCCCCTTGCCTCCAGCACTGACATTTCATTTGACTGAAGTTGCTGTTCCAGTGTGTGTCAGTGAACACCAGGGGAATCACAATGTCGTTCTGTTAGCTGTTGTTTTCTTTTCTTTCTTTTTTTTTTGTTCTATATAATAAATATATAAACATCAATCAACGGCTTTTTAAGTTTGTTTTTTTTTAAATACCTAATATTAAATTCATCAACGGCTTTTTAAGTTTATTTTTTTTTAAATACCTAATATTAAATTTGAAATTAAGGTTGAAAGAGAATTCAGTCAACGCTCATCCAGGTCATATTTTTTCTTTTTTAAGATTTTAACGGTTTTATACATTTTTTTAAACATAAAGAGGCGTTTCAGCATTTACTGTGTTTAATTTAAGAACAAATTATGTAAATTAATGTTACGTGTTTCAAAAAATGATAACAAAGAATAGAATTAATATTCAGACGATAAATGCTCAAAACGTATAATTGTATGATTTTTTTTGTTTTCATACATTAAATATTTTTTAATATAGTTTTGGTTTCTGCAGAATAGTATTAAAACAGCTCTTTTCTTTAATTAATAAATGCATTAACTATATATATATATTTACTGTATATCACTGTACATAATAAAGCGGGGTTTGTATATTTTCTCTCTCTGTCGGCGTCAAATAGGGAAAAAAAATCTGTTTATATCTACTTTAAATAATTCATTCAAACAACATAAATATTTTTGAGACTTAACTAAAAAAATAATTTGAATATCCGGTAGATCAGAGGAGGAGATGCTGATGCTGATGCTGCTGCTGCTGCTGCTGCTGCTGCTCCCACCATCACATCCATGTTTATCCCAGAGAGTCTGTTTCACATGCTACTGTTTTTTTGTTTTTGTTTTTTATCATGGCGCGTGACTTTACACCCTCTCCTCCGTTCCTGCCTGTGCGTCAAAAGGCATCAAAAAAAAAAATAAAAAAAGAAAAAAGAAAAGAAAAGAAAATGCACCAACAACAGCCGCCATTATTACTATCTTGATAAAATACGACAAGAACTCTTACCTGAGGCTGCCGTGCTGCGTCAGGTCCAGATCCGGTGGCAGCAGCAGCAGCAGCAGCAGCAGCAGCAGCAGCAGCAGCAGGCGCAGGCGCACACCCGGGGTCTGGCCGGATTGTGCGCACAGTGCGCAGTGGAGGCGGAGGAGACGCTGCCGCTCGATGGTGGATGGTGGGGGTTGTTCCTGGTTTGTGAGCGTACACTTCTGCTCCGTGCGTCAATTAAAACAGCAGTCATTTAAATATTCCAGTGTTTCAGGCGGCCCTCGGCGCGCACACGAACGCACCCAGAGAAGACGGAACCAGACAGGAGCCAATGGCCTCCTCCTCCTCCTCCTCCTCCTCCTCCTCCTCCAACGACCAGGACGCACACGTGGATTAAACAGGAACAATCATTTGTATTGAAAAAAAAAACAAAAAACAAAAAATTAATTCACAGCTTGTAAATATTAACTATATTAAATATATAATTACCACCATTAACGCTCACATCTATTGTACAAGGAGAGGCGGGTTTTGCAAACGAAATGCATGACAAAAACATGCATTAAGTTTATTTATTGATGTATTATTTCTATCCGACTGATACCAAAAATAAAACCACCCTCAAAGCTGTAGTTTTCTAAATAAACCCATTTTAATCACGCACACTTTCATCCAAAGCCCCTCGAGCAAGGACTGGATTCTCAATCTGGCCACCGTCCAATTATTATTATTATTATTTATTATTTTTATTATTATGCATTCAAGCCTGTGCACAAATAACTAAAAATAATTCACCAGTCGTTTTTTCCTTTTCTTTTTTCTGCCTTATTTGTTGACTGTGTCAGGTCCTTCAGCTGAATATGAAATTCCCTTTTTTTTCTTTTTTTTTCTCTTCCTGCCTTCCTTCCTTCCTGTGTTCACCTTTTCGTTTCCCCTCAGCTGTGACGTACAAATGCCTCTCCCTCTCATCTCACCTGACAAACTTCATTGAAATTCAGTGTAATACTGAGTGTGTTTAGCCAGAAACCATTCCTCCTCACATGTCTGGCCTCCTGTTGCAGCATCCAATGAATAAAGAAATGCTAGGAAACGCTCACTGATTATTTATTTTTATTTTATTTCATTTTTTAATTTTAGATTAATACAGTTTTGAAAAATGATCTGACTGAAACTTTATTTATTTATTTAACTTACCAAACAGCTTCTTCCCATGAAGAATGCTGTGGTTTTCCTGTTGGAACATTATTTAAAGGTTGAACAAAAACATGACAGGTCAATGACAAATAACAGGAATATAAGAAACTATAAATCTTTTTTAATGACATTTCGGGCCCATCTGCATTATATATGCATTTCACCATCACAAAGAAAGGTCATCCACCAGACAGGAAGCCGTCCGACTATATATATACATATATATATATATAGCTGGCACTCTGGTGTATGGATGGACTGGTTTCAATTGTCAAGTGACTAGAACATTGTGTGAAGTGAACACTGGGCCCCGGAGCAAAAAGGGTGACAATTAATTACACCTCTGTACTGCTTGCATACATGATCATATGCCACAGTGCTAACAGTCATTTTGCTTGGCTCCTTCCGCCTGGGCTGACATCACAATGTATCTCATCAATAATGCAACGGCACTGAGATCCATTTCACTGTGTACTGTAAGGCGTACTGTGCACACAGCGCTCTCCGAGCATGATACCCGGCGCTGTGTGGCAGCGTGCGAGGCTCAGCCGTGAAAATGCAGATGCAGCAGCAGCATCCTGGATGCCAGCCTCTCATCCTCC